ATCATAGAACAGGGTATAGAATGGCAGTCAACTCAACTCAATCTCAACTTCATCCACTCTGAAAAAGCACTCGATAGCGTCGACCGAGAAGTAATTTGGCAGGCAACTGCTTCAACACTACGGATTTAGTGCCACAAACCATCATCAACCTCATTCAACAGCTTTATGCTATATTATACTACATGCCAATTGAGTCACAATGAAAGGCTCAGAGATGGCTTTGAAGTGAAGACAGGAGTAAGACAAGGTTGCCGTCTACTATCACCGATGATCTTCCTGATTGTGGTTGACTGGATCATGCAGCAAACCGTGAGGAGTGAGAAGATGGACATAGGCTGTTCGACCGATGAAAAGACCGAAGAAGAATATTTGGATTTCGCCGCCGCCGCCGCCGATGATGATGATGATGACGATGATGATGATTTATGTCCAATGTCTTGTCGCACAAACTCGAAGATCTACGGGCGAAAACTAACAAGTTGACAGAAGAGGCAGGACAGCGAAGATGGCACTTCAAGTGAATGTGGAGATGACGGTGATCATGAGGATACCCAACCAACAACAGCATCAACAACAACCAGCACCAACCACCATCATCAGGAGAAACGTAGAGGAAGTTGTCTCTCTCACCTACTCATGCAGAGCAGCATCGTTTCAACTACAGGCAGTGGCACACGTACAGACGACGATGTCAATCGAAACCAGGATCGGAAACACAGGAAGACAGATACACCTTCATTAATCTGAAATCAGTGTGGAGATCTACTGCCCTCCACTGCACTGCACTGCACTGCACTGCACTACACTACACTACACTGCACTACACTCAGCATAAAGCCTGAACAACATCGAATTTTCAACACCAATGTCAGTCAAGTCAGTGCTTCTATGTGATGGTTGAGAGACTTTGTGCATCACGAAAAGCATTTCCAACAATCTACAGACATTGATCACTAGCTGCCGCCTACTCTGACTCTGCGCTGCACAGATTCATCTTTTGCTTCACCACCTTCCTCTTCCTTCTCTATCAGCTTCCATGTGTCCGTCGAGATCCCTTCCATGTCCTGTTTCTTCTTCCTTCCTAACACGCTTATGCAGGTTTTTTTCGGTGTCGGTTATGATTTAGGAAATGAGCAATTTAAAAGCACAATATTCGTAATTCAGCGACTGACTGTGTGGGTAAAAGAAATTGTATCAAACTCTTCGCTTTCGCACAGCATTAATTTGCTCGTTCGCTGTTCATAACGTAGGTGGTGAGGAAATATCAACTAACTGGGTGTCGTTTAGTGACGCTATAATTTTTTTTCATTTAGGACGTTGGTAAATATACCGCTTTACTGAGTATGGTTTGCTATCTCCTGCTTCATATCTTTGCAATAACATGGAATATAATTACTTTACCTATTATTCGAAATTGTAAATTCTCATAAACAGAATTTGCTATTGATTTAAGACTCATGTATTTATTATCTTCTTGCTTCGTGGAACTAAGTACACTGATTGTAGCATGTATTCTGTTAGTACCATCTGACCCTCCTGAAAAATGGAGATCATCATTCTTGTTCAGCTCTGTAAAAGGACATCTTACGAACTCATGGCGTTTGAGCACATTTCAGCAATCCTTCGATAGACCATTTGATGTAGGCGCTAGAAAAGTCTTAGGATAAAATATTTGAATAAACCTGAAATGTTCATCATGAAAAATTTCGAATCACTAGATCATGTTTGGAAGAAGCATATACAATTTCAGTCTTTCCTGTCGCCTCTATGAAGAGTTTATCATTCCAGATGATTGCCGTGTCTAGCACTGACACTTATTTTTTATCCTCTGATTAACTTCGTATTCTAATTGTGATCTATTTTACTCATTTTATTTCCTTTCACCCCTAGATTGAAATCTACTCAAAAATGCTTTATCTTACTCAGTACGAATCCAATAATGTACAGCTTTAAAAACCAACTTATAGAAAAGGCGGAATTTTAATCACTGTACACATAGCTTTTTCTTATTCTTGGTTTCTACATGAATATTTGTAAACTCAATATAGGACTGCATTACATAAATCACTATGAATGTAGTGTAAAAAAATAAATCATTGTGTCCTAAAGTAAATGAAAATGGAAATGCAAGAAATAAATCTTGAGAAAATATTCATGTATATTTTTTCAAAACATTACTGAAGGTATTATATACCCACCAAGTCCTATGATATATTTCCCTTGAGCTATTTTCTTGCTAACAGAGTATATCACTTTTATTTCCCTCGATTTTTCACTGGGGATAGAAAGCATTTAGGTAAACGTTCTGTGTAAATTACCCGCACATTGTAACTGTTTTTTTCCTATTTAGTCTACTTTTGTGATTTATTCTAGAGAAAAAAACTACATTCTACTTCCTTGTTGCTTTAAGTAAAAACTTTTTCCATAGGGACCTAATGTCTAGTTCATTAACAGAAATCAGAGTACAGTAAACAACTTCTTAATTCTTCTTCATATTTATTCAGTAATCCAGATCTTTTCATGGTCATTAAATCTAAGTACACGACTTTTACCTTGTACTCCGTGTGCTGCAAATATGAAAGGGGGTTGGGTGGCCAATGTTTATGGGCACCTAACCACAGTAAATTTTTACTATCAAAGTACTCTTTTACCTTGCTAAATTGAATCATCTTTCTTCCCTCCAAAAATTGAAAGACGCTAAAACACACCACTTCTCAATGAAACTGTTTCAATGTGAAGTTATTTAAATTAAAACAGTGAACAGTACTCAAAATTAACGAATGAATAACTGCTTGAGAATCACTAACAAATAACTGTACTCACACAGACAAATTTTCAAATTTGTAATGTAGATTTAGTAACTGTGGTATGAATAAAGCGCAAAATGAAAATATTTCACACATCTGATAGCGCAGAATGCTTACCCTGTTTTATAAACCAAAATTTAGATAACAAGTGAATACGTACTGCAAGACTAAAACTTTTATTGTCAGACCCAAAAACCCATAGAGGTTATATTACTTCTGATAAGAAAAAAAGGAGGAACCAACCACTTAGTGCAACTTGCATGCAGGTTGTTATTACCATAAGGGTCGGTCCAAAAACAGTTTCTTTAAAATTCATTATTTGTGATGTCATAACTGATCGCTTATAAGTTGTGAACGGTAATTTCAGATTCATGTGGTTTCAGATTTCATGCAGTCACCATGTGAACACTAGCTTATCATAGTAGTATTTAAGTAACCAAGCATTGAAATGGTTGAGTTTTTTAACTATTCATGCAGATGATAGACGTGTGGTCGTTGTTAATACAGCCATAACTCATTAGCTTCGATATTCAGCCTTGTACCAAGGGGGTCTAGGCACTCATTGAGAACCATTAGCACTCAAACAACGGGTGTGAGTGATTGTCAATTGAACACGTTTGCTGAGTTATATGCGTAGTACTACATGAAGATTTGTTTTCAGAGCTGAGCTCATCGACTATCGTCATCCTCATATCAGTATTTCACAAGTATAAATTACTGCATCACGAAAAGCATTTCCAACAATCTACAGACATTGATCACTAGCTGCCGCCTACTCTTACTCGATACTGACACTGAAGATCAGATGGCCAGAGTAGTAATAATAAGCAACAAGGAATTATGACTGGCTGGCTGTCAACGAAATAACCAAGAAGCCATCCATGAGTCAAGAAATATGGAGAGTGGAGTGGAGATGGATTTGACTGGGGATACACTGAGTATTCCGATTGGTGACATCACGCGTCAGGCTGTTGTGTGGAATCGGAAGGGTAAAGGAGGATTTTTGAGTGTGAGGTGAGGATGATATGGATGAGATGGTGTGAGGAAGGAATGAAATTTTGTTTTGAGTGGTGGAGTGAGTTTGAAGTGCCTGTAGTGTAGAGAGTGCGATGGATGCGTGCTACTGGAGCCCTATGTTCCACTTTGAACCCAAGGTACAAATTATTATTATAAAACATTGAGTAGTGCTTTTCGACTTTGTGGTAGCAATATGACACAAATGAGAACAATGCTCACCTTTCTTAAGGCATTTGCGCCTCGTCACTTGTGTAGTGTCGTACTGGAATAGGTGAATTCATGTCTTTTCCAGAAATGTTTTATATTTTACCGCCACTGTTTTTTTGGCTTTGTATTTTCTAAATTTTTTACTATGCATATATCCAGCCATAAAATTATTTGGGTTTTAATTTCTGTTAATATATCTTAAACCTGTCACTGAACTACTATATGTTTATTTTTTGCTATGCCTTGATCGAGATTTTTCTTCTTTTGTAAATGCGTTCAAAATTTTTCACTCTTAGTTATTTTGTCTAAATTTTGGAAAATATCATTGTGTTTGCTGCGGTGTGTGTTTTGAAGGGTGATCATTATTACCACATTGGCAGCAGAAATGCAGGGTGTTTCCATATGAAGTATTCATACTCTCTCAATGCTGGAAAAAATAAACGCAATAATAGTATGGAAGAGATAAGTAAAATCGTAAACAACTTACCGGTTAGACGACACTTTAAATGAATATAAACTTCTCCGTTTCAAATGAGTTCTCAACTGCATAAGTAAAGAACTTCCAAATCCTCCTCGTATTTTGTTTACGCTTCCGCGCATCAATTATTATTAGTCAAGCAGTGCAAAAAATGAAAAACAGACTCAATCTCAGATTTTGAAGTACCTTTCAAAATGCCTTGTAAAAATGGAGATTGGAATTTTCTCAACGCTTTACGGAGATATGTTATCATACTGACGCCGTAAAACTTCTAACACAATCATCATGTAAATTGGTTCATATCCCTCCTGATAACTGGGGCCACAGGGAATGCGTATTTTGATACTTAATGTTTGCTGCATGCACCTTTCGTATCAAAATGCACACAACACCAAACTGCCAATAACAACAACTGACTCTTTCTTCATTTTACTATTGTTATTTTGATTTTCTAAATGCTTTCATTTTTTCCGACTGTTTTTAAATCCTAGAAACTTGATCTGATAATTAAAGAACGTGATCATCTGAAGTCGCAGCTGATGAATACAAATCGAAATTTGGCTCGTTTCTTGAATGATTTCAGGAGTAGATTAATTTATCATATAAATGGAATAACTGTAAGGTTTTGTTTCTTTTGGATTATGATAAAAACTTCACTAGTTTATTTTTGTAACTTCGTTGTTGACACTAACGGTGATTAGTATACTAAGACTAACTACAAAAGTGTACAGTTATCCCACTCCCCTCTATACAGATTTTCAAGTGAAATAAAGTATAACTTCATAAGAAGCTCCATTAACTCATGATATCACACTCTGCAATAGCACGGTGAAGAAAGACTGCACAAACATAATTAGATATTAGAGTAAACACAAGACGAGGTGGGAGTGATAAAATACCAAATAACTAGGCTGCCAAGGGAGATTAGATAAAAATAATTCGTGCTATAAGGGTCTCAGTGCGACCCAGCCACACTTTTCATTTGTAACTAATTGTTTTAAACGTTTTCACTACTGCTTTCAGTTTGGTCATGCCTCTTTGTGTGTCTCATGCTAACAGGCTGTAGTTTCTGATGGTATTGCATTTTCTGAGCTGGATGACTTATTCGTGGACCCCTCGTTGTCATTCTAGAAAACATGGTCAGTACAAACTTCAGAAGTATAATGTTGTCTAGAATGACAACAAAAGATCCACAATTAAATCATCCTGCTCAGAGAAGACAACAACATCGAAATTGTCCTTCTGAACTGCAAATATTCTGCATCAGCTCAAAAGCCTGTAACTTTATTCACTAATCCTCACAACCGTCATTTTTGCTCGTCTGCGATTTATACAAGTCAGGTAACTATTGACTGACTATAAAGTAAGATGAATTTTCGGGTAAAAAATGTCTATTTCCCAGAAAATATTTGCTTACTACTAATTTTAACAGACGAACAAACAGACAGAAAAGTCAACGTAGAACCTCGCACACAAGTTCATCGGCTCAAGTTGTCACACTTCACAATAGCATAAAAAGTGGACAAAAAAAATGATATCAGAGTAGACAAAGTTGTGCGATAGAATAAACAATATGAAGATAAGAGTTAATGCAAATATTCAAGCTTTAAAAGACGTCAAAGGACGAATACGTCTTCGCCATTGTGAGAGATTTTCAGTCATGTCAACAAGAGTCTTCAACTACTAATTCCTGTCGTCTGGAGAACGCCAGCCAGGTAGTCTACATCTCCCCCCAAGATTCAGGCGAACAGTCAGGGACTTAATTGAATGGTGCCAAGTATCGGCCAACCCACCGTGAACCCTCTTCAAACTTAATCCAACTTTTGATAACATGACACATACAAGCAGGCGGTGGCTCGGCATGCACACGTCCAAGCTATATCAGCCGATGAAGGTTCACAACCTCATTAACAACAACTATGACCATCTTTTGCTGAGATTGATTTAAAATTTACTTAACGGTGTTTAAGTACGAAAAAGTAAAAACAGAGGAATTTTAAAATACTTTGGAAAGACTGCTGATTAAAATGCATTTCGAAAAGAGAGAGAGAAAGTGAAATGCGAAGTAGAAGCGATTCCAATTTTCATATTCTTTCATACTCTCATCACTTAACTGGAAATTTTTGTTAGTGCTATACAGATTAAAGCAAAAGTTTTTGAATGACATTTTATTATTGTTTCTCCTGTTTTGTATTACTTGACTGCAGTTGAACCAGATGGACATAAGATTCTTCAAGATTTTTATGTTCGCTTGATTTTTTCAGTAGAGAAAAGCTTCCAACTCCAGGTAACTGTTTGTGTTTTCACAACATAAGTAAGTAATGGAGTAAACTGTGAAGATGAATGATACTGATTAGTTTGGAATTTCAGTAAAATACTTACTGTGCAGCGAGGCATAGTGTAAGAATTTAGAAATAACAAGTATGTGACATTAAGTAAATAGAACTATGAATATGACTTGCTTCAGTAGCAGTACTAGACTGTTTGCAGAATGGAGAATTGCGTTATGAATGATCCGTTGAAAATTGTCACTCCAGCTTAGTTCATCTGCAGCTAATGGAAGAAAAGCAAGAGAAAAGTTACTGCCCCAAAGATTTGCCGGTTTGATGGATAAGGAAAAAAAACAAATGAGGTGGATGTCATCATCATTACTGTATAAAAGACTAAGTTATCTTACCTCATTTCAGCAAATCAAGCCAGAAAGCACCAGGCCGTAAAGTGAGGAAATAAAGAAGAGTCTGTGAAAGCAGAAGCAAATAGTAAAAGACAGGAAAGAGAAGTAAGAAAAACAGTGAATTCGGTAATACGATTAAAATGAGTATAATGTATGGATATATCTGCTGTGGTGAGACTGATTCTGTGTCAACTAGATTCTCCAATCACTGGTTTCTGTTGTCACAATGGCTCCAATCGGGAAGTCTGACCGCTCCTTTATTTGTCCAGAATAAGCTCAAAATTTAGGGTAGACAGACGGTGACTAGGCATATTTAACAAAAGTCCCAGCCAACTCAGTCAATGAATTTCCTCTCAACCATAAAACGCCACACCTAAGTTTGTCATTTTCGATATGGTGATACCATGATACATACCCTATGCTACGAGAAAAATGGTGGTCAGACACTGGAAGACTATTCAAGCCCTCAACCCTTTATGACCTTGTTTCACTGCCATATAGTGGAACAGAATGAAATGCAGCGCAGTACGCTTGACCCTCAATAGACTGCCAGATATCGTCCCGGTGCCATAAGGAAAGCCAATCGTGCCTACCGTATCCATGCAGAAGTTTTGTCAGTCAAGGACTAATCCACCAGGGTTGATCTGACTTTCCAGGTAGGTGAGGAGGTCAACCTATTCAAACATTTCACTTCCTGTTGTTAGACAAGGCAGCAGTTAAGATCAGTCGTGAAGTAAAATTTTTCCACTTGGGTGACCGGAAATACATCTTAGACATTCTCGAATTGCCTCTGAAAGTGTCCAGAAGACTCTACATTTTATCAGTGGCCTCACCTAACCGGAACATACCATATGCATGCTCTAGATCTACCTAGGATTCTCCTGCGATAAGACCAACCCCTGTGAAGTCAGGTTAAGACAGGAAGACCTCCATAAGTATGTCCGTGATACGGTTGAATAAGAACCAATAGAGTAGACATCGCTAATGGACACTATTCAAAGTACAAACTTCACCTGATCTATCAGCATTGGCTGTGGTACGCCCACGGGTGTTCGAGTTAAGAGCCTTCAGCTGAGTTACTTGACATATTTACTGAAGGCGCGTTTCTATGAAACGCACTTCCACAAGACCTCTCGATCAACCGACCTGAATGACATCTTCAGGTAGAGGAATGCAGATACAGTTATGCGTCCGTAAATAAACCTGATTTCCAGAATGTGATGGAAGTTGAGTATCTCGTCAATACACCTTTGGTTAGGTATAAAGCCAGTATAGTTTCTCTCAGGTTTGCTGTTTTCGAGCTCCACTCAGGCGTTTCATAACCATAGAACTTAGTACCTTACATATATATATATATATATATATATATATATATATATATGTGTGAAAACTTACAATCATTGAAGTAACCTTCAGGAGACACTTACGAAACGTTAGCCATTCTCAGCTGCTTTTTAAAACTTATAGATGTTTAGAAACTGGTTCCAAGTTGCAGATTCTCATACAGTTGAAACTTAGGTTGGAGTGCGTGAGTAGGCTAACCTGTGGTTAGAAACTAGATCTATTATTTTGTTCAGTACGCCATTAGGTACAGAAAAGTGGATATCGATATCTACGTTTCTCCCCTTTAGTTATCATTTCCTTATATTTAGCGACACCTGTCTCAGTTATTTCACCTATTAGTTATATTTTCAAAGCAACTAACTATTCTTTCACGAAGAAAAATATCATTCTTAACTTCATACCTTACATTTACTAGCCAAAAGACAATATGAATGTAGGATATTATTTTCAATAAATTCCTATCAGGTTCTGCAGTTATAAAATGAATTTGTTCTGCATAAAACAGGTTGAATTCATGGCAATACTTTTTTTCAAAATTGAACGTGAATTTGAGATTGTGAACTGAACGACGTTTTGTTTAAAAATATCAATTTTAAGAATATTTGTTTGCATATAAATAATATTTTGGGGAAAGGACGGAAAAAGGTATCAGCAATAGCCAGAACAAAAGCCTTCGAATTCTGTGGGACAATTTATTGAATAGAGTATTTTTCGTTCATAGTGCCTTTTAGTGAATGAGATGGGAAACTTTAAGTGTTTGAAATCCTACAAATTCACTAGCTGACCAATATGTGCGCCCACTAAACCTACATTAAAATTTGAATGTGTGCTAAAAGTACATGGAAATTTTCTTCGTAAGATCTGAGTTTCTTATTTTCTTCTTGTAGTCCCTTCTTCATTAAGACGTCAGATATAACATTTCATTGTTGGCAGCATCTATGTGCATATAAATTTACTTGTTCCTATCGAGCTAGGTATATAGATCGTACCAGCAGGGCACTCTCAAGATATGCTCAAGAACATATATCTGTATGGTTATAATAAATAAAAGTCAGACCGATGAACAGTTCTATTCTGAAACATTGCTCCCTCAGGTCCACACAGCATCTGTACATAATTCACTTGATTCAGTATACAAGGTGAGACTAAACTAAGGGAAATGCTTTCGATCACACCTTATTTGTAGAGCGAAAACCTCAGTCATTCACAAAGAGAATCCTGAGCTCTGTGTACATTCACTTAATAGCTTTCTCTACTAATGTCACAGTTTCACAGATTTCATACGTTTGCTTGGCAATTTCATATGTAACCAACTTAGATTCTCTGACATCATTGAGTGAAATTTTCCTCGCTTTCTTTTGTGTAATATTCCTGCTAACTAACCATATCTCGATAAAAGCATGCTTTTTTGTGCTCTCTTGTTCATTTTTTGTTGCCTACGTTGAATTTGCCAGCTCCTACATTTTACTATTTCTACCTTCCGATATACAGTTCGGTATCCTTTTTTACTGACTGTTACTAAAGCTTTTACCCTAGTAGGCATGTTTCATCATATCTTTGAACTATTATCTGACGGTAACAGCTGTGATTTGGAGCTACACAAGGGGTCTTCTTTCTTGATTAATGTCTTTGTACGTCAGTGACTTGTCCTCAAGAAACTGACCCCTCTTGTTTTATATGTCTGGAGTGTTGCCTCACAACATACATCTAGATAAGTCTAGCCAACACCTAGATTGTAAATAAGCATCTAGCAAATATTATAGTAAAACACTAACTGTATTCTGATAATCTCTTTTAGAAATAGCAGTGTTTAAAGATGTAGGATTAAGTTGAAAGCAAGTTAGGGAATGCCAAACCAGTTTATGGTGCTGACCACTGATCCTACACACATGAAGAAGTGAAGCTACCTGGTTGCGACTCTCGAGATGATGAGAATCTGTGGTTGAAGACTCTTTTTGGTATGACTCAAAACCGGTCACAGTGATGCAAGTGTATTCATTCTTCATAAATTTCATAATTTTGAAAGTTTTTATCACCCTACATTGGTGTCTTCTCCCCGTTTCCTAACACATTTTTCTACTTTAATATATTTGGCCTTCTTTTTTCATCTTCTTTGCATACTTCGAAGAGCTGTAACTTGAACTTATGTGAGTGTATGCAAGGTTTCACAATAATAGATCACTTTGTCCATCTGTATTCTTATGAGAAGCAAATAGCAGAAAATTTAAATCCCTAGTAACCTCCATTACTGGATGAACGAACAATGGTACCTAAAATCTTGGAAGAGTCATAAGTTCTTATGAGATTAAATACTGTGTTTTTTGGATGTGTACTGTTAAATATACCATGTATATATGTGGAGGTTTCTGAAATTATCCTACTCGCCTTATGCAATCACTTACTGAACACCAATATCACTTTCTTTGGTTGTAAATTCAGCGGTTAGTAGATGCAACAAAGTCAAAGGATCAAATAGTTGCTGAAGAAGCTGTCTACAACCTTGAAAAATACATTAAACACCTGATCACTGATATACAGGCAACATACCAAATACGTGAAAATGAACTGATTAAAATTATTCGATCACTTAACTCACAGTACCATGCAGCACTTAAAGCAGTACACAAAGTTATGATCTATTATACGTGAGTTAATGTTCATTGCTCTTTGCACATATATATATATATATATATATATATATTATCCAATCTGGATGAAATGTTCATCAACCTAGGGATGCTCCAACATTGCCAGCAAGGTCTTTTTATTCATAGCTTTGAGCATAATTTATTAAATATGAATACAATTAAAAATTTAAGGCATCAGGAGTAGTGCAGAAAATAAATAGGTAGTTTGTGCCCGGGTTCCTTTAAACTTTTCAATGTTGACTCACACGACTGAATGGATCAATCTCTGTTGGCATAAACGGTACAATTACTAATATAATACTTACTACCGTTATAAAGTCATCATTGTATTCAGCAGTGTTTAAAAGTGGATCCGTTGTTTCTCAGATCAAATGAGTGCACTCATTCTTACCAAGATCTAAACTCATCATCAGTCAGTTGTTGTTATGATATTTCTGATTTCCCATTAATACACAGGATCAAACTGTTTGACACCTGAAGGCAGATGAATACAGCATCATAAATACCTGACAAATTCAAGGCATTCGGATAGGAGCTCATCTGCCAACACAGGTTGAGCTATTAGACGCTGTATAGCAACGGGAAAAGACAAAAGTTAAAAAAATAACTGATACCCATTTCACAAGAGGTGACTGTCGTGCCCCAGTGGCCTAGTGGATAACCCTTTGGCTTTTGAAGTGACAGGTACCGGATTCGAATCTCAGTGGGAACAATAGCACTCTCTGGAGTGAAGGTACATCCAGTTGACATGTCCATTTCGTCACCAAGATAAAAACAACACTATCTAACTCTTCAGATGTTAATGGCTGATCAATCCAGCCCAAGAATCAAGTACTATCAGTTACATCAAAGACTAAAATAAGACAGTATCCAATACAGAAGAAGGAAAAAAAGAGCACTTTAGCTCAATATTTCAGTTTAAAAATCAATCAAATGATAGTACTTATCATCCCGGAACAGTGGAAGTCCACTTGCGCAAATATCATAGATTGTAACCAACCCAAGAAAAAAGAAAACGTTCTAAGTATAACTATTCAAATTCACAGAAGTGAAACTTTGGTAGGCAATTTAGCCAGTTAGTAAAAGGTGAATAAGCCACCAGGTTCTCCAAATTTAATTCTCTTGAATATATATATATATATATATATATATATATATATATACTACAGAAATTTAAAGCACATATATGGACTCACAAAAACATTTCAATGGTAACGTGTTACTTGGTTAGGATAGCACGGTATTCTAAGTCTTCATCTATCAGTTAGGTAAACTATCGATTTGATGGGGTTATGAACCATAGAAATCCCTATAGAAAAGCCTTCATAGTAGCGCCCTTATGAGGTAATAAGCAACAGTAAGTCGACAGAAATACAATCGGATGGACATAAATACCTAAATTACCGACATCAGGAAGGAACTGAAGAACAACAGTTGACAGCTATGAGTTTAAACGTACATTTAAAAATGTCAGCATACCGGAAAATAAATACATTCGATTAATAATGACCTGTGAACAGACAGGTCTTTGGAAACTATAGGCCATTAATTTTACGAACTAAGATCACTACAGACTTCATTAAGCGACTCAGGCAAACTGTCATTAACTTCTCACGTGAGTATCATGTCTTGTTCTGATTAGAACTGATTTAAATAACGCAAAATAAAGAGTTAACTTAGATTCAGATTAAAGTCTCACAATTATTATTATTAATTGACCCTTGAGTTTCGAGAGGAACATAGAGCTTCAGTAGCACGCCTCCATCGCACTCTCTTCTCTACAATCTTTTGAATCCGGATCCACGACTGCCCAAAACCTTTCATTTCTTCCTCACATGATCTCAGCCACATCACCCTCGACTCAGATGACCAACTCGTCGTTTCTCCTTTAAATCCCAATCAACGGCCTGGCCTGACACGGGATCTCCCCAAATGGTCCTCTCAGTGCATGCCCAATCCATCTCCACTTCATTCTGCATATCTGTTTGGCGATCAATTCTTGGTTGGTTTGTTGCCAGGCAGCCAGCCAGCCAGTCAGCCAGAGTCCCTTGTTGCTTATTCTTTCTGACCATCTCAGCTTCAGTAACGAGTGTAGGCAGTTGTTCATGAATGTCTGTAGTTTATTGGAAATCCCTTTCGTAACTCACCACGACTCTGAACCACCACATACAGGCACTGACTTGACCGACATTAGTGTTGAAAATCCGCATCTTATTCACGCTTTATACTGAGTCCAGTAGAGTGCAGTAGATCTCCACACTGGTTTCAGGTTAATGAAAGCCGGTCTTGCTTGTTTCTCCGATCCTGGCTTTGACATCCTTATCTGTGCTGCTGCCTGTAGTTGAAACTGTTGTGCTGCCCAGGTAGGTGAAACAGGCTACTTCCTTTAAGTCTCTCACGTTCATGGTGATTGAATCTTGTTGGTGTTGGTGGTGGTTGTGGTGATGTTGGTTGGATATCTTCATCACCTTCGTCTTCTCTACGTTCACTTGAAGTCCCATCTTCACTGCCCTACCTCACCTCTTCTGTCAACTTGTTGGATTTTGTCTGTAGATCTTCAAGTTTGTGTGACATTCGACAGAAGTCATCGGTGAAATCCAAATCTTCTCCTGGGGTCTTTTCTCAGGTCCAGCGTATCCCCTCTTCTCGCTCCTCACTGTTTGTTGCATGATCCAGTCCACTACAGTCAGGAATATCATGGGTGATAGTAGACGGCAACCTTGTTTTACCCCTGTCTTCACTTCAAAGCCATCTCTGAGCTTTCCATTGTAAATTACTTGGCATGTGATGTCCTGCAAAATTTGTTTTTAACCTTAGTAGTTTTTCATCGGGCACTAACGCTGTAAGCTAAGTTCTTTATGCCCATATAACGTGAAGTAATATACACCATGGATAATCTCAATCAGTTTCACTTTAATCATAGAACTTAAGTTAGCTTCATGTTTCACGTTTTCAGAAGTAGATTGCTGGTAATAATATTATAAACGAATAAGGAATGTCCATTCTCTCCAATTTATGAACTGATTGCGGTTTTGATGCAAAGCAGAGATAAGAAGAAATGTAGTGAAAAAAACCATGTAAATTAAAATCAATTTACTAGTCATCCAGGCAAAAATGGTACATGTAGGACCAATCACCCATTCACATTGTTGTACAAACTGAAATAATAAGACAAAATTATAAAGTCAGTAACATTTTCATCATAACTAATTAACTGGTGCATTACTGAGGTTGGCTCGAATGAAATGGTGCTTGATTTTATCCTAAAAGTTTCATAAAAAACACCAACTTATGCCACTAGCTGTTGCAGTCAGATACGTCTTTGATATACGCTGTACACCTATGACTAGCCTCTCACTAGTCTCAGCAGATTAGCATTATCAGTCAACTGAAAGTAACAAGTGGTGTTTCGTCTGGTTCTGAGTAATGACTGACTATTATTCTGAGAGTCCGCAATCTGGACTACAGTGTTTGGTCCTTAGTAGTAGTAGATAAACAAATCTTTGAAGCTAAACATGAGTATTTCCAAGGTTTACTTCTGCAGCCATTGCTACAGTAGGTTGCCTGAAACCAAATACACCACGTCACAGCTTAATTGCATGATTGATCGATGCATTTCAGGCTAGAATAAAACACTAGAAAGTAGCATACTGATTACATTCTACCAACGGGATGGTGTATAATGTTAATTACTTTACACAATTCAAAGACTAATTTAGAAAATGTGCAACCACTTTTCTTGTGGTTAAAATCATGAATTATGTTTGGATCTTGAAAACAGAAGCGTTTTTTTAATTATCACTCTAGACAGTAAATAGACACATGTATACTTTGAAAACTGTTCATAGTTATATTATGCATTGGTTAACAAGCCACCAAAAAGGTAAGTGAATGTCATTGATCAAAGGTGGCTATGAAAAAAAATCAATAACGTAACTATGATCCAAAGAATTCATTTGAAATGAATTTCTGTGTTAAGAGGAGAAATTCAGCAGTTGGTTGAAACAAACATTGTTTTTAGAAAAGAATATTTTGTCCGCTAAGCGATTTACTCCTCAAGATGAAGAAAAATTTCGATCAGGTTAAAAATAGTAACCGCTTTCAAACCACCTTCCGTAATTTCAGAAAATGCCAAAATAAATAATTTGTTTATAACTTGTAAGAAATAATTCAATCACTCAGTGATAACTGAAAGTCGTATTTCCCTACCACCACGCGTTGTCATTTCTCTAATCTATACAAATTTACTAAATATTGACTGATGTACATTTTGATTACGTGTACAAGGTAGTCGAATGGAAGTTGGGAATAAATTCCTATCCCCAAACAAAGTGAACCTCGGTTTTCTTGTTACCAAGTTTAATAACAGCACTGCACATCTGCAAATTTGCTTAAATTGTCATCATGTGATCAGTTGGTGTGCATAATTCAGTCTTATAGGTTGTGAATCCTGACCTAAATGGTTCGCTTCTTGTGAAGTTAGTGCTGTTGTCTAGAAAGACAATGAAAGTTCCACGATAAAACTATTTAGCTCAGAGGACGTGACACCACCAAATTAGTTGTTAATCTCCCGACTTTGAAGTCGAAGCATGCTAGTTAAAATCCCAAAGGATTAATAAGATAAGCTTTGCACATATTAAACCTATGTTACTAGTCTCCGACCGTATAATTCCTATCGTCTAACATAAATATCTATATACATTACTGTTAACCAGGATGAATATGCGATTTAAATCTATAGATGTAAATTGAATTCATGTTGCAAATTATCAAAGAGTTGACAGGCTAAAATATCTGTTGAACGGGATACAAGGTATACTGCGCTTCTCATTAACCAATCAACCTTGCTTTTTTCGGATAGCTTGGCACCGTTTTATACAAAAGGCTAAATGATTTATCAAAAGGGGTTGAGTGTCGAGAGTTTACTAAATTTTTTGTCACAATGGTGAAGATGAATTTACATTCTTCAAACTCTAATCATTTATCTATTTCCATCA